GACACTTGTGCAAGTGGTTTGCAGTTGGCTTCAAGGGTGGTTTTCCAGCCCATTAAGTTAAACTCAATAGGCAAGTTCTGAAGAAGGTAGGCTAATTGAAGTTGAGCCATGTTAGCATTAGCTGCATGCTAATGCAACTTGTTGATGCTAACAAGCACCAGCCATCTAAAAATCCTGTCAGGACTTCAGTTTCTCGCCAACATCGATTTCTAAAACATGTCAAGAACTTTACTGACTGGTTTTAGGGGTACTAATGCAGTGTTGCTGCTTGCATCTGGATTAACTTGGTTTTTAATTTTTTTTTAAGAAAATCTGTAAATGTCTCATCCTGCCAAGTAAGAGGCAGCATTACTGGATGATTACTGCTACATTCTACAGAGTGAGAAAATGTGCGGTCGTGTGCAGACTCCATGTTTTTACTGTGGCACAAGCTACACCAGCATCTGATGGGCTCTGCAGAAAGTAATTTGAAACATATAAATCTTATTCCCACATGAGCCATTTCCTGGCTGCATATTGTTGTGCCATAGCTGTTTCATTTTGTTGATAAAGATGTTTTTTTATTTTTTTTTTAAACTAACAGCTGTTCCTCATTACAAGAATAAGATGTCACAGCGCTAAGGAAAAGTTGAGTTATCCCTTATATATTTAATATTTATTTAATATTTATGTTCCAAGCAGCTGGAGCTTTTTCCTTTTTTTTTGGGCCATGTTTTAAAGTGATGTTGTTCATCCTGTCTATAAATCACACAGACACAACAAAACGTGTGCTCAGCTCATGGCTGCAGATCTTAGAAAGCTCTATTGGGATGCAGTCGAGACCCAATTAAATAAAGTGTTGCTTTATAGTTATTTATTACAGATGTTAACCATCATGTATCAGTCTCTAAAAAGAGTTAAAAATCGAATCAGTTCCTGATTTTTATTTTTATTGCATTTGCACTGTTGTTTTGGCTATTCTGCATCTTTTCACGACAGAAGAAACACTGTGCGCTTACATAATCCACTTTACTGCTCAGTCTTAAAATTAAATTGTTGACTTTATTTGATCTATCTGTCTGTAATGATTGAAATTACATCTGATTTCAATCCTGTTTCAATACATTTGTAATTACAAATGAATAATTACATAAAAAAAAAAACTTCCAGGTGGCTGTAGAGCTGATAACTCAATGATACAAAGCAGTTCTGCATCATCTATATTTCTAAAATCTATGTCTGTCAAATGAAATAGTTTTTTTTTTTTTTTTTTTTGTCAATTGTTGCTCTGCTGACTCCTTCGGGGAAAGCAGCGTCTTGCTCTGTCTGCTTCAGCAGGACCGGGTGAATGATGTCAGTAAGGCCTTGAACCTTGAACCCCCCTGTGGTGAGAGAAATCTGTCTTCACTCATTATTTGATCCCGGCTCTCCAGTGTTTGGGGCTTTTAAACAAACAGAGACTTTAAATGCGCCTCAGAAAAAGTAACTTGCTATCAGCTTTCAGCTCCAGTTTTCCCCGGCCCCGTTTCCTCCTCACCTCAGCCAATCCGGTGTAAATGTGGCCGGAGGAGAGAGGACGGGGTTTAGCGGCGTCCTTCTCCCGTCTCTCGTCCAATCGCAGCTGGAGATGGACACCAGCAAACCTGGCAACCCTGCAAGAATAACCGAGGATAGAAAATAGATGAATTTGGACGTTTTTTTCTCTCTTCTTCCGTTTCTATACCTTAGCCTTTTTCTTTCACCCCAAGAGTCCAGATTTATCACCGAGCTGCTCTCCTGACACACGTTTACGCAACATTTCCTTTTTATAAACCAAAGAAAGCAGGGAGCAGAAAAAGAACACTGCAGGAGAACAACCTGCTAAAGAAACCGCAAATATTTTCTTTTAAAGGTTTATTTGGTGCCTTAAAAATCCTTAATATTGATGGTGATGAAACTAAAATGGCAAATCACAACCTATCTCCCCGTGAATTTATTTTTCAAATGATATCGATTCCTCATTTGGTAATCCAGAAAGCACTTTTTATTTTTTGTCTCCCTTTATATTTGGTCATGACAGGAAGTGTGTTCAGCTACATCAGCATGTGGCACAGCTGACTGGTCACACAGTTCACTCGACAAAACTACACAGCAGCCGCACCCAGAGCGCCACAGTTTCTGTCTCACTGTCAAGGCGCTTACAGGAAATAAGTGTGATAAAAGCAACAACCTGAGTGACGCAAAACGCGTCCATGCAGCCTAATCACTGTCAGCATCTCCTAGGTATGACTGCATGACTCATAGTTTCATTTTCACCAACATGAAACCATGTTTTTATGGGCTTTTTTTTTTTTTTTTTTCATGTTGACCAGAGTTTTGGCAATGCATCGGGGGGACGGATTGTACTTTAACGGCATGAGTTATCATAAAGTTGTTCCAGATGCCCCACATGTGACCCTCTGAAAGTGTGTCGTTTTCTCAGGATTTTTTTTTGAGGCCAGACTTTGGGAAAATTGCTCATATCCTGCATTGTGCTGTGGAAGAGGAAGTGTCCTGTGAGACGCCGATTCCTCAGTCTACTGACCCACATTACACTCACGCTGTGGACAACCAACATGCGGCCTTTTGCAGCGAACTGACGGGAAGTCGTGATTTTTGATGCCAAAAGGTTGAAAACGTATTGTTTGGTGGCGCCATGTTTCCACAGTGTCCTGTTGGAGTTTTCTTGTAAGCATCAACCAGTTGTTTACGGAGGATTGGGTCAAAAAAAAAAAATCCAGCAAATTGTCGTCTGCATATGAAAAAAAAAAAAACATTGTGTGAGAGGATACCCCAATGTTTTGCCTAAACTCGTGGAGTTTGAAGGTAATGCTTAGGGATATCTTTCTAAATTTCAGACTTTAAAGAACGCATTACGAAACATTTTTAGAGTTTAACAATTTGAAAAATCTTTTGGTTACTCTCGCTGACCTAAAGAGTTAATCTGCTTTAATGCCAGACATAGAAAAAAATGGTTTGCTTTTCATTTCAAGTGGTCTGAACTTTATTATTTTTATTCCCTGAATATTATTTTCTGAAAATTTTACATTAAGGCCTATTTCTGTGAATTGCACTTCTGATTATGTATTCACAGTCCTTGAGCATTTCTACATTTTGCCAAGAAAACTGTTTCCAGCTCTAAGTGAGGTTGTTCTGAGGAGATAAAGTACCGTTGCAAAGTCAATCATTAGACTTCAAATACATTTTTTCCTCTCACATGCAGTCCAAATAAAATCTCTGGTGGCGCAAAAACAAGGATATAGAAACAACTGTCACACGGGAATCTCGAGTCAGAAGTCCACATTTTGGAGGGTGATGTCGTTACAGATGCTTTATTGCTATTGTGATTTTTGTAAAATCTTGTCTTAGGAAGACGATCTTCACCCACTGGATTCTTTTAATTTCTAGTTTCGCTGAAGGCGGCCACTTTAGGCACAACGCTTTATCATTACAGGAACAAGCACAGCCACAACACTTGCGCTGCGCCATAATTCCTGTCACATGTGTCATGTGATGTGAGACTGAATGGTGTCCAGTGTTGGTGATCGGGGTGCTGACAGGAAGGAAGGGTGTCTCCGTGTAAGACTTCCTGTCTTGCTGTGTGACTCAGTGTCGCTTCTTCTGCTGCTCTTGTCCTTTTCCCTTCACTTTTCCTCCGTTCTGCCCTCCCTCTCTCTCTCTCCCGCCCCTCCATGGCATGTCTCGGCCTGTCCCCTCTTATTTGTCCCACTCACATTTTTCTTAATTTACTTTATCAGCTATTCTTGGACCATCTGACCGTGTTGCGATCGAATGGCCTCTTGTCAAGAATCAACTCTGCATTAAAACTCTGGACTCTGGAGAGAACCCGGGTGCTGCACAGGGTGAACATGCAAACTCCATGCAAGACCCCGGGCCGGGAATCGAACCCAGGACCTTCTTGCTGTGCTACCTACTGTGTTAGACTTCCAGTGTTAAACTTTAAACTGTAAAGAACATTTATTGATTTCTGAGAGTGTGTTCTTGCATTCTTTTGCCATTAGTTGAAAATTGTCTCTAAACAACAATATTATCATTTATTGCAATAACTTCTGGGACAATTTCCAAAAACGAGGATATTTGCGTGCATGAACTTGATGACTAAAGCTAATTCTAATTATATTAAGCAATAAAAAATGATTTATTTAATTAATAATGCAAAATTATTAAGAATGTCCTCGCATCTGACTTTTGTTAACCTGAAGCAGTGGTTAAGAATAAAAAATAAAATAAAAATGAGCCTTTAAATCACTCAATCTCCTTAATGCAGAGAGTTGGGCAATTAGCACCCAGCTAAATTTGTTATTGTGACAGGCCTGGGTCACACCAGATACTGACTGGTTTCCTGACCCATTCTGCACATTTCAGAATGTCCTTTTGTCGACACCTGTCCTTGCCACACCTGTGAGGTGGCACTTCACAGATTTAGACAGATTTGCAAACAATACTGGAGAGAAACGGATCTGTTGCAAAACGTCTTCAGCTCAGGACCAAGTGTCGCGTCTATATTTACATTCAGTGTAACTCGGTCTCTTTGTTTTCACACTGGAGCCACGTTAAAATCTTTTTCGGACATCCCAATGTCCAACTCGCTTACAATGAGTAATGCCAGTTCTGATTCAAGGTTGGCTTCGTGCATCTAAAAGACTCCAGTATCTTTTATACAAAGACGGTGTGGTACCAAAGTCATAACCCCCCCAAAAAAACAACAAAGCCAAAGAATTTCCTGCATGATGCTTAATAGATCACACATTGATGGCATGATGTACAACTTCTGCCAATCAGTTGCAAGTAAGCTGAATATTTGTTACATGTCAATCCCCTCTTTCTGTCTGTGTCGGTACAACTTTCAATCCCATAAATGCCTCAAGAGTGCCTTGGAGGAAAAGCATCCAGTTTATTACCCGTCTCATCTTTATTCTGTTGAGTGTCTCTCTTGATCTTTCTCTGACTCTCCGAGGCCCCTCCTAATCTCTGTTAAGGTTGATAACTGGGATGGTTATCACTGAGTGCACAAACTGGCAGACATAATGAGAAGCCACCTACTTGCTGTAAGCAGTCAGGAAAGCTAAAAGTGTGTTCGAACTGTTTAACAAGACGTAGCCAAATAAAACAACGACAAAAGGAGTTGGAAGCAAATCTGAGCCAAGAGAGGGAAAACACACACACACACACACACACACACACACACACACCTACACACACACAAGTAAAGGCACGTGGCAAGGCTGCAGGTTTCTCATTCATAATAACACCAGAAGTGTCGACACATCGGAGGGCACAGAATCATCTCTTGGCCTTATTTATTTTCCGTGACTCGTGCTCACATAAATTTCACCATGTCGCCTATCTTGTAGAGCTAGTTTAATCAGAAAAATAATAATAATAAAAAAAAAACTCTTTAGCCTTGAACGCTAGCAAACAAATAGCCGTCACGTGTGCACATGAACACGATTCTCCTGGAAGACTGTTAGAGCGCACATATAAATGCTCATTCAGTCTCTTCATTGTTTCTTCTCTGGGGCTCCAGCCTCTGGGCTTGTCTAGTCGTTTTGGGGTGTGTGTGCCTGCAGACCATATGGGCTCTGGGGGCTTAGCGGACTCATACCCAACCCCCCCCCCACCTCCCGCTTCCATCGGGGTTCCGAATGTCTGAGGGGAATTCGGGTAAGGCGCCCTCTAATGTCTTCAACCGGTTCAAGCTTCCTGTCGATTTTATTTATTTATTCATTTTAAGCAACCATAACCCACCGCTTTTCTCAGCACAGAGCTAGCTTGGTTCGTTGTGTAATTGTGTGGTTCGTGATTTTCGTGGATCTCAGCAAAGATCCAACAACGGGGCAGATGGCTCTATCTCGCTTACCAGTGTCTGTCTGGCTTTCTCAACTTCCTCCCCGTCACATTTTCTGCACGCGAACGCAACGCGTCTGCGTGTGAAGCGTCCACGTGCGAGCCCGCGTCTCTTTGTGTCAAAGTGTGAGCGTCGAACGTGTTTCTTTAGGAATATCTACTCGCTGGGGACCATATGGTATACCACTGCCTGCTGGGCAAAGATAAATCCTGCATGAAAAGACAGCAGCGCGCGCGCGCACACACACACACACACACACACACACACACACAAACACACACGCACGCAAACTGTTCTCACAATTAGACCAACTTCAGTGAGGTTTGCTTGCATTGTGCGTTGTAATTAGTCTGCACCTTTTCGTCTCTTGTTGCATAACAGCAGAACCCACCGGGCCTGTGTGGTCGTCATCTGTCGGTCTCTCTTCGTTTCTCACTCTGCTCCAACTCCACCCTCCTCCTCCTCCTCCTCTTCCTCGTCTTCCTCCTCTCTAGCTGATCTGATTCCTGCCTACCTGCCTTTGCTTGTCTATTTCCAGGCAACTTGCCATGAGCCTACCTGAGTCATGGAGCCTCCCCTGAGCCATAGCTCAGAAATCAACTTCGTGTATTTCTTTTTTTAGCCTTTCCCCCTCCCCCTTGTTCTTACCACCTATTTTCCTGGCTGTATGTGTTTTCAACTTTCTCTCAAGTTCTTTTTTTTTTAAATATTTAACTTTTTTTTATAGATTTTGGAGGCAAAGGCAAAGTCGCTGACATAGAGGAAGAAGTGCATGTGACTCTGCAGAATGGGTGTGACTTTACTGTGAAATGTCTGCAGGTTCTTCCAAGGTCTGCGTTGTTTCCTGGGTGTTTCTGGTTTCCATTGAGTGTCTTAGCAGACATGTCAGAAAGTAAACTTTATTTAGGGTTGAAATATAAACTCTCTCTATGTATATTTTTTTCCCCCTGTTTGATCGCTAAACTTATCTTGTTTTAGGTCGTTTATATCTACCAACATTATGGCACATTTTCTAAGTGTCAAAAGAATGATGAGATTATTTTATATGTAATGAGATTATTATTCCTTTAATAAGATTTTGATTTGGTCTGGAAGAAACTTCCAGCAAAACACAGAAACAGAGTTTCATGTATATATATTTTCTTGATCATCTTGATGATGCTATTTGACCAAATGTTTATTGCTGTTTCATAATTGGTTACTGTATTTTTTTTTTTTATTTTATTTTAGATCTGCCATTTTGCTGAAATGTGCTTAACAAATAAAGTTGACTTCATTTATTGACATATTATGGTTTTATTCACACAATTTAACCTGTCATTCACGAGAGGACCCACATTTGGGTCCTCTCGTGTCATTGTGAATGACAACCTGTGAATGACAGGTTAAGCTAAAAAAATTAAAATAAAAAAAAGGAAGATTATAGGATGATTTCAATTCTTGGAGACCTGTTATGTGGTCTGATGAAACAAAAATGAAATTATTTGCTCATAATAACCCATTGCTCTACGTCTGCGCAGCGCAACGGTAGCAGCATCGTGTTTGGCTGCGAGTTTTCCAATTGGACAGCGGCCCTAAACGCACCGCTAAAAGTTACAGCGCTTAGAGACAACAAAGTCAAAGTTTTCAGGTGGCTGACACAAAGCCACCTCCCTCGACACGTCGCTCCTGGCACAATGAACAATGGACATAAGAAAAAACCCAAAAAAAACAACAACTCCAAATGTGTTTGAAAATATTCAGCTTATTTTTCAGACACACCTCCAATTCTGCTACTACTTCCATCAACATGGAAACACGCAGACCTGATGGCTGCTGTGCACGGTCTGAGCTTAATACCTGCCTAGCGCCGTGCAGCAGAGCCAGACTGCATTAAAACAGACAAAAATAAATAAATAAAAGGAAGGTCGCAGAAATCAGAAACACTCCAAATCTCCCACACATCTCCAGTCAGGCTTTCTCTCTCGTACTAGGCGGCTCGCAAATAAAGCGATTTACCTTGGTGTCTCTCCGCACACCGGGGGCAAAACAATGCAGCGCCGTTTCCTTTAGAAATGTGTGTGTGGTGGAGGGGAGACGGACTGTAAAACCCCTGTGGCTCAAATCATCCACCCCCACCGCTGCATCTTGTGCCACAATGTGTCTCCTAACTGTCTAACATGGTGACATGGATGAGGGCACAGCAGGGAGAGAAACAGAAAGAGACACAAAGACTGGTGGTGCTGGTGGTGGAGACAAGCTGGTGAACTGGTGCAGCGTCTGATGTTCTCCTACAGACTGATGGAAAGCAGGGATGACATAAGAGCCAGGCAACCTGAGGAAGGGGAGGTTAAGGATGCAGAGGCACACTAACAAAAGCAGCGGCATTTTAATGTGAAACAGAATTTCAGAGCTTAGTCGCCATGACAACAACACACTTACACCACCGTTTAATTGCTGCTGACTGCAGTTGTCTGCCGTCTCTCAATCTGCTGGCAACATGTAGAACCTGTTATTACTGTAATTTGTGGGCAAGTATAAGCTGGCACAGAGCCGCTCGGCTTCATATTTATATGTATTTGTACGTGTCGCTGACATAAAAGGCCGATCAGGGAGCTTTCACGCAACTTGTAGTCCGTCTATCTTACGACATGAATGATCGCTCGCCGTATTTCGGCCCACGGCGAAATGTCTCATTGGCATAATGTAGTTGGCCAAGTTGATTGAATCTTTACATTATTTTGTGAAGTATTTCTTCGCCGCAGCACACTCTGCTCTTAAGTTCATTTAGCTTGAGTGGATCACTTAAGCTAAATGAACTCCTTCACTCGAGGCGCAGAGTGACCCCCGTCCCACAGGGACTGATTCACTTTACACCCATATGTGAGCATTTCTGTTCAGAGAACTGAGTATTTAATAGGATGCCATAGTTTTTTTTTTTTTCAGATGACTGTATATGGATTGTTTTTGTGCAACAAGACAATTTTCTTGTGTTTTATTACAAATGCTATGTAGTAGCATCTTGTTAGCGAGAAAATGGAGTTCTAACTTAAAAAAAAAAGTTAATTTATCGCTCCGTAATCAAGTTACGTTTTTTTATTTACGTTTTCTTTTTTTTTTCTTTTTTTTTTTAACATGACAACTTAATTAACGTATTTACTTGGATAAACTTAATTTGATTATTTGTAGCAAATTCCATCTTTTTTTGTTCAGCATGTTATTTATTTCTATGTCCAACAAGTCGATAAAGACAGAATCTAAATTAGTATGCTTGAAATGTCTCCGTTTCAAGCATTTACAGTCAGTATTGATGCCTTTTTTAGATATAGATATTTAAATCTGTGAAGCCCAGAGCGAAATAAGAGAAATTATTTGTGTGAGTGTAGATGCACCAGTCCAAAATATTTCCCTTTTCATTCCAGAAAGCCAGACTTTCTTGATTATATATAACATTTTTAATTACATCCTAGAAACTAGAGGGATTTTGCTCACAGGATCCAGCCACTTTGATGCCACACACTCAAAAACGTAATCAAAAAAAAAAAAAAAAAAAGTCAAAACAATAAGGATGGTTTCCCTCTGCAGATCAAGTTGAGTTCAGATGACGTAACATAACAGATAGGTCTGACACACATTTAACTAAAAAAGGCTAAGAAGGCTCCACTTTCATCTCGTAACGTTCTTCAAGTAAACATCTCTTTGGCCTCGCAGGGCCCAGAACGTGTGTGTGTGTGTGGGGAGGGGGGCGTGATCGCAACACGCTTGGCGAAAGGCAATTTACTGTTTCTAAAGGTGCAGAGCTCTGAATGTGTCTCATGCTCCCTGTGGGTTATTTGTCTATTTTCAGAGAACTGTAGGCGGTGCGGGGAAAGTGTTCAAGCCAGGACAGGATGGAGGTATTCTCCTAGGCTTCAAACAGCTGGAATGAGAAGCAAGACGAATGTGCAGAGATTATCAACAATCGCAGGCTGAAGTGGATATCTGACGTGAGACAAGATGAGCTCAGAGGGAATGTCGTATCTCTCTTCCCATCGCCGGATGTCTTTGTAGCAGATTTCAACAGGGGGAAAAAAAGGGGGGATATTATCAACTTTTATGTCAAGATGAAGCATTTTAAATATTGAAAAAAAAAAGCCCATAAATGACACAAATTTCATCCTGTGCATGAACTTACTGACAAAATCATTGAATTTTTTTGGTTTCCATCAAATACATTAGCATGTTTATGGAAATGGTTGAGCGTTATTACAAAAAAAACAAAAAACATACAAATTCTTTTAGTGCTGAAAAAAACAACAACTCTAGATCAACATTTGGCAAAAGTAATAGAAACAAACAACTAAATATGGAGGTCATCAGAAGCATAAAAAGTTTTTTTTTTTTTCCCATCACAAAACACTCAGCTGTACATTCCTGTGCACTGAATTCATTTGTTATACCCCCCGGGAAATACACACACACGCACACACACAAGCAAACCCTCTTTCTCTCAAACAGAAACACTCTGCAAACTTTTGGCCATGTCTGAGCCTGCACTCGGTAAGATAGGGATGGGTTGCCTGATAGCATTGTGACCGTTGACAGGAAACTGAAACAGGGTGGGATGGTTCGGGGCCACAAATTTGCATGCCTGTTTGTGCCGCTACGTACGCGGTTCGGTGGTTGGACGTTTGCCCTTTTACCCTCCTGTCAAACGCAAGCCAAACGCTTCCCCAAATTCAGTGTTGTTTTTTTTTGTTTTCCCCTCTTTCTGAATGCTGGTAGTCATTCCTGAAATGACTGGGCTCTTGTGCTCTGCATGAATGACCGTGTCTCCCTAAAACCAGAAAAAAGAAAAAAGAAAAAGAGAGAGACCATACTGTAGAACAGTCTGCATTCTGCCACTTGGCCACCAGACGGGACAGTGGGGAGGCTGTACTGGGAGGCGTTATTGTGCTCTGGTGAATAGAGAGCCTGTCACAGACACACAAACACAGCGGCCCAGTGGCTCAGCATCTAGTTTCAAATGCTATCTTGTCTAATATTATGTGCCGTTTTTGTACAACACAGATATGATTTCTAAAAAAAATAAATAAATAAAAAAACTGACAAAAGAAAACAACTGAAAAATGGTTTAATAAACATAAAGCTCAAAAATGAAATGTCCTTTGCTGAGGTGACTAACAGATCTCAGTCCTGCATTTTGATGCTACTTCTGTTTTTCACATTTTGTCACGCTGTTACTTCAAACTACATTGTATTTTTTTTTTTATTTGCCATAAACCATCAACAGGCAGCACGCTAGTATGATGTGGAGGAAAAAACTGACATGGCGTTTACTCACAAAACTTCTACTTAGTGTGGCATGCATATGTTTTCCACTCTGTTTAATTTTGTGCTACAATCAGCTTCTGCTACCATTACAGCTGCAGTTCTTTTGAGATATGTCTCTTTGTAAGTATGTCGATTTGGTTTTGGTTACAACTCCTGGAGTGACAAGTTTTATAGTAAGTTACAGTTGAGTCTGAAGTATTAACTGCTTAAATTATACAACAATATAACCTGCTGAACACTTTCTGTCACAAGCTGTTTCCATCTATGCTTTTTTTTTAACCCACATTTTCAAGTATTGCATTAGAATCAGTTGATGGAAACTGCAAAATCCCAAAAAACTTTCACAGGAGCGGAGCGGACAGTTTCCATCCACTGGTGGATGAGGGGAGGTCTCTCTCCATTTTGTGCTTCATGCTACTTTTATCACAGCCATGCGTAGCGACAACCTGGCCTAGTTGTTTCCCTCCAAACTAGCAGATGGGTCACATTTTCTTTCCTCTTTATCTTCTGCAAAAAAAAAACTCTATTTTTTTTTTTTTGTTTTTGTTTACCTAAAACATGCCCTTGTCATGTCCGTGTGTACGGGACCTCAGTTAATACAGCTCATTTATGAGTTCTGTTTCACTGTACGTCTCATCCACATAAACATGAAATGTAAACCTTTATCTTAAAAACGAGCTGTCTTCCAGAAATCCGTGTTGCATCTCACCCAGAAGAAACTAGAGACCAACTCCTCCTCTATATAAAACCCACGGATTTCCCTGTTCATCACTAAACACAACTTTTGGTGGG